CTTAATATCTCGGTTCGCGGGGCAGAGCGGCGCTTTTTTCTACCAGATTCTTTCGTTTTATGGAAAAACGCGTCGAATGAGCATAATTTCATCGATTTTTAAGAGGATCGACCTTTATTGCACCTTTACCTATAAATTATAGCTTTTTTACATTTGTGTATAGAGTTAAATTTAATTTCGGACTATTATTTGAATATTGTAGAAAATTCTTATAAAATGATTTATTTTCAAGTATGATATTTATATCAATATCAAAATTATTAGTAACAGAACTTATTGAATTTTATAAAAAGCTCGTGTGATTAGTTCAACTACAATTGAATAATTTTATGTAACGAGGCTATGTAACGAGTAATGTAATATATGTAATGTTTATTAGTATAATTTTACTACACCATTAAATATAATTCAATCTAAAACGTTTTGACTTTTGCTTAGTCTTCTTCAGTCATTCTAATCTGTTATTCTACTATATAAATATAATAATTGTTAAACATTGATAAAAATCCCATCTATTGATATCATTAGATTCGAATTTTCGAACTTATTCAATTACTGAGTCCATGTATAAAACCAAATTTTTGAAACTTGGCTGTAGAATGAAATCTAATTATTCAAATATCTCATATTTTCGTCATGTGATTATAAAATACTTCGGTCCATGATAGAAATCATTGTGAATTAAAATAGTGAATTTACTTATATTTTCTTCTGGTTCTTTGTCTATAAAAAGTTATGATGATTAATTCTTAGTAAGATTAATTTTTCATATAAAAAAAAAACTTACATTTGTCAGTACAAAAAATCGTTGGAAAATATAAAACATGCTTATCATGGTCTCATTATTTACAAAATGACTTTTCACTGTAAACTGTGATGTCGCTTCATGTGTCTTAGATTGAATTAGATTTAATGGTGTAGTGAAATTGCACTAAACATTATACATTACATTACTCGTTACATAGCCTCGTTATTCAATTGTTGAACATAATTTTTGTTTTATTATCGTTAAAAAACAAGAAAACTATAAAATTCAGTGTGTACTTCAAATGACTACATATATAGTATATAAATTCACATGAAAGTATTAAGCACTTAAGATCTAGCTTTGACCGTTATAGGTATTATTCCTTACTTGTATATTTACATTATACAGTCTTAATCGTTTATTATTGTTGGAACTATAAAATGTTTCTTAGTGTTCGTATGTTTTGTAATCGTTTATTTATAGATTGTGCCATTGAAAAATTACCTTTAAGAAAAAGAGATGGAGCAAGAGTAATTGATGGCAGTAAACATGCTCACAAAATGACTTCGGAACGAGACGAAATTGTATTTCTTAAACGTCCAGAGGGAATTGAAAAACAATATAGGCAAAAGTGTAAAAAGTACAAGTATATGTGTGTTTGTGCACTATATTTTTTATTCATAAGTGCAATGGAAATGTACTTGTAGCTTTTATTAATTATTTTGAATACATTAATAATTTTGTATTATAAAAACACTGAAAAAATATTTTGCAAGAACAAGAGTATTCAATATATATCTTGATACAATTAATGTTTTGCAGATGTGGCTTATTGCTGTATTATAAACATGATCCAGTAGTAAATGTAGTATTTGTAGTAAAAGATTCGGTAATAAAAAGTTCTGGGGAAGGCCCTATGACAGACATTTATAATCAAGTGGCCATTGAGAAACCTAAAAAAATAATGGTTACAAAGCACACCAAAAATATGGGCAAATTCAGTTCGGTTACTGTATCCACGATTGATGAAGAAGAGGATGAAATAGAAGCAGTATGTCAATTACATTTTTATGTTATCAAGCAGTTTATAGTTTATGATATAATATTCAGAAAAGTTTCTCTTATGGTTATAGGTAGCTATGATTAGATAAATGTTAAATGGTTAAAATTTTTACTCTAATTGTAGTTACTTAAAATATATAGTTTATCTGTTTGCGTTATTTGAGTTTGATATTTTTTAATCAACCTGTATATATTCTTCGTTTTTTTTTATAATAAAGTTTTTATTTTTAAAAATAATTGAATTTCAGAGAGAAGTCGCAGACTCCTATGCAAACAATGCACGTATCATAGAAAAACAATTGGAGAGAAAAGGTATGAATAAACGAAAGGCCATACCATCCACTGAAATAGATTCAAAGCGAACAAGACCAAGAGGAACATTGTTGGATGTTTGATTTTTTATCAAGAACTAATCGTAATTATGTAAATTAATTTACTGCTTAGAGTTAAAAATAAATTAATTTTCTTACATGTATTATTGCGCTTGGACGAAAAAATTGTAACACTTAATAAATTTGAGAATGTGCAAACATTGCAATTTTATAATTTTTATGAATCTGGTTCAAAAAGTTTTGAATGAATCTGGTGGAAAAAGTTGTAATCTTTCTCTTCACAATAGTATATATTTTTCAAAAATTATGTTTTTTCTCAAAAACATAATAATAAACATTCAATCTTATATTGATATATTTATTAACATTACACAAAAAAGTAAATCTTCAAAATATACAAATGACTAGATACAAATATTTAATAAAAATGTATATTGCAAAATAAAGATAGAAATTTAACAAATAAATATATCAGTTACATACAATACATCGATAAATAATAATTGCAAGCAAAAAAAGCCACATTTTTTGCTTGCATTCGGAATTAGCTCGTACAATGGCAACTTCAATTAGTGTAATAATTAAACAGCATATAATACATTATTATTTAGTTAGTAAGAAGTAATTTCGAATTGATATGGCATATTTACGTCATAGGATGGAAGAGCTATCTATCTAAATATAATTCTGTCACTGGCCACGTTTTTATCTATGGATTATGAGATGCTGCATGTGCAGTACTGCCAGACATTAATGTTATGTATACACGTAATCAAAATTTTGTTCGTTAAGTACATATGTGTCCATTCTTTATCTTTCTATCTGCTTTGAGAGAAAGAGAGAGGGGGGGGGGGGGG